ATGCCTTGTTTTCTCTCTCAAGAATGTAGAACTCTGCCTACACATACGCATTATTCATCATCTTTATCTATTCATTTAGTAGTAGTCTAAAAAGGGTACACTGATAAGTCCAAATCTTATTCATCACAATTTTTATTAAAAAGCTTAGCAAAATTATCTCATCCACATCTTTGTTGAATATCATCTTCTTAAGAAAGGTATTTTTTTGGATCTTCACTCTTAATGCAACTCACTTGAATTAAAATTCCACTTACTATGCATATCTCTGTTGTTTGGCTAACTTATAACATTATCTTTCTCCCTTCCTTAGGTATTAATTATCATGATAAATCACTAAAAAGCTAAGTCTTTGCAATCGGATATTGCTTATCTTAGATCCTTATGAGGCTCTTTATATCGTTTCAATTATCAAGGAGCCTTTCTTAAAATTTAAAACCAATTCTTTATAACAAATTCTTACTTTTACATATTTTGCTTGCACCAATTTGGATTTTTCTTTAAACTTATTTCTTTCTCCAAGCCTAATTTACTCTAGGAGATTTTCCTTTTGATATTCCAAGCACATCTTTTGTAATTTTTAATATTCACTAGTCACTTGTTTCCCACATAACATTAGCATCTCATGTCATAGATAGAAATTCTTAGATCTGAAATCCTTACTCTTAAAAATATTTTTTGTTTATACTTCCTTGAATGCCCCTCTAATTCTAGAATATCATTTTACATTTATTTTTTGTTATCCCCATTATCTTAAAGTCCAATATACTAATAATCGATTTTGGGGTAAATAAATTTTCCACTTTGGCGCCGCGACTATTCCCAGCCTCTACTATCATCACTCTATCCTGCCCATCGTGTTGCCAAATCTAAACGATCTTAATTTTCTTATACTTATAAGAAAATAGTCAATCTGGGTTGTACTATATATCCATTTTTATAAGTGATGAGATGCTCATTCTTTTTTTTTAAAATAAGATATTAGCAATTGAAAATCATAAGTTGAACAAAAATCTAATATGGTCTTGCCACCTTCATTTGTTGTTTCAAAACCATAGCCACCATAATGCTTTTAAAATCATCTACCTCTCTGCCAACATGTCCACTTAAATCTTCTCCAATAAAAACTCTTTCTTTTAGAGCTATTTTTTGTAATAATTCTTCTAAGTCATTCAAAAAATTTAATTTAGAACTCATATCCAAACCTACTTGAGGAGCATAAATACTTATAATATTAACAATCTTATCATCAACAACAATCTTTAAAGCTATAATTCTATCTCCAATCCTATTAATTTTTATTACAATATCTTTCAAACTCTTTTCTATAATAACACCTACACTATTTCTAGTACGACTCCTACCCGAATACCAAAGTTTAAATCCTAAACTATCAATTTCCTTAGCCTTCTCTCCAACCCATTTAGTTTCCTGAATGCACAAAATATTTATCTTTCTATGAATCATAATATCTATTAATTTCATTAATTTTCCTGTAAGAGAACCTATATTCTAAGTTCCTATCCTAATTTTAGTATCATGGACTAGCTTCTTTGCCCACATCCGTCTTTGATGTGGGAGCCCTTGCCTATTTAACATTACACCCGGGCGCCGGTGCAGCGGCCCTTGCACACTTGTCATTGTATTCAAACCATACAGCGCGTCGCTTCCAGGGGATGCCCTAGCATTAACACAATTTCTTAAAGAATTCATGTCATTATTATTCGACAATTTTTATGCTGGCTGTCAACTACCTAACGCAAACCTCCACTTTTCTCATCCAGGACTTGGGACCTAGCAACGATAGTATTGATCATAAACTTTCTGCTGGAATAAAATCTTGAGAGTTGAAACAATAGATCTGTTTTCCTGTTAAACTGGTTTGAAAATATTTCTTTGTAGTAAAGATTTAGTGCTCAAACTATGATATTCATCATCATCATCGCTGGCAACTTATTCCAGCTATTTGAGGTTGCTTTATTATTCTTTCATCTCCATTAGCTTCTGTTGGGGTGCCCACGTTACTAGTTTATGCTAAACTGTAGTCATAAATTATAGCCAATTTATTCTGGTCTATTATTTTTCCTTCCTGTGCCTTATCTTGATTTTATCCACCCGTATTATTGATGAATCTTGTACTATTAACTTATTATCAAAACTAATTTACTGTAATTTTGCATTTTATCTCAATGCCCAGATCCACATAGTATAATTGATCCTAGTAATCATTTTTAGCAAAGCTTACCTTTTAATCTTTATGATAATCCTTCATCATATAATTCTTTCAAGGTTTTTTTCTATTTTAACGACGCATCTTTAATTTTAGAAGTTATATCCTTCCTAGTATCTTATTCTTTTGTATAAACGAGCTAGGATATGTAAGCCTATACCGTAATTTATTACCGGATCGTCCACTATTATTGCTTGATAATTACTATTTCTACATCTATGGAAATTGTGAGCCAATCACTAATATTTTGTTTCGCTACTCCAAAGCCCTTGTACTCTAAACTGTGATTATTCTAAGTTTCATTTTTGTCAGACTATCTTCAAAAAATGACATACAAAAATATCTATTGTAATTATTTCCAAGATGAATACATAAGACTTAAACTTCGCGTTGGATGTACTCTTCTAATTGATTTTTTTTGGTACTGTCCTTCACAAGATCGTTAGTGCTCATCCTTCAAAGCATGCATATAACTCATGACATGTATTACGTTAGATCATTTTATTTTATTTGAAATCTTTCCATATCTAGTTTTAAATTTGATAATTGTTTATATATATATATAACCTCGCCATTCCTTGCTAACCACCTCTGCCTCCGCCTTCAATCGCCATCTCGGACCACCTCTTTCACTAACGCGTGAAAGCGCAGGCCTGTCCGCCCGCCAAAGTCACTATGGGCATTGCACACCAGCCACTATCATCACCATGCTCATGCCGTTGTCTTCTCGCAGCTATGCTGACCACCATAGTAACTTACATTGAATTATTTACTTCAATACAACAAAAGAAATCTCGTTCATTTGTTTACGCTCAATCAACAAATCTAATTCACAGTCATTATATTTTTTATAATATCTTTAGTATTTTGTCTTTTCTTTTTTTTGGCAAAGCAACCAAACAACATCATAGTCTATCAATTCTTACACATAAAAATCATATTATAGATATATATTAGTGTGTGTGTGTTTATTTTTCCGTAAAATGGAACATTTTCCAATAATCAATTTCTGTCTGTGTCTCATTCCATTCATCTATGTCATTAATGAATGAAATTATTATGCTGATTTATCAATTTAACCCTTTTTATTCTTATAATTTGATACTAAATATTTTTCCATTATTTGGGCCTCACGGTATATTATTTCAATAAATGTTTTTAACCATACCATATTACAGCATCTCCGCCGTTCTCGATTTATTGTAAATTCTTATACTCGTCGGTATTAGACTAGCACACACTGA